CGCCCAATCACGAAGATCAGTAAGCCTACTATAAGATAGAGCTTGATTTGAAGATGATGTAGCCCTGCATAATCAAATAAATGCGAGATACTTCACCATATTGAAGAAATGTACCAGCATTTGCTTCATACTAAGGAATAAAGAGTTGTTTGTATTTCCATATGTTTGGGACATTGTGTAATTGCTACCAATCTAGATTTAGATGTTTGCATCAATGGTCCTTTTCTTTTCAAAATGATTGCATCTCTTCAAGATTTTTTTTTAATGAATTTTGCTCCTCTGAAATGGGAACGTTAAAATGGCCTTTCATGTTTCCAAGTTAAGCCATGAGATTTTCATATTAAGAAAATATATACATCCCACTGGTGTCGAGTGATTATAAACACTTCATGAGTGTCAAAACTTTTTCACCCCACTAATAATCAGATTGTGCACACCTTACTGGTATCGAGAGTTTGAGCACCCCAATGGTGTTGAGAGTGTAAACACCCCACTGGTGTCCATAAATAATGCGAGCTAAATAGTCAAAGGGTGTAACGAGGATACGAAACTAGGCTGCTTATAGAAGTTTGTCACTGCCATAACCGATATCATCTATCAAATTAAGGCTCGACTAGAAAGGAGGTTGATTATCCAAATCATGGTCCATAACCACCGATATGCCGACATCATAATAGCCAAATTCTCACAAAGCCCTAACGGCCAGAAGATTGAGGAGGTTGAATGATCCAATTTGAAAAACTCATATCATCAGTTGAGGTTTTAAGGAGACAAGAAGCCTCGTTGTCCAAATGTCTACATTCCAAAATCTGAATCGGGGGATTCAAGCGCAAAAAGCGTTCAAACAAAGAGTCCACATACAAAAAGGAATTCTTCAATAAAAAAAAGGAATGGTCTATTCACCATAGCCAACAAGAAGAAGCTCCCACAAAGATCGACATATTGACAAGTTTCTAACATTTTGATGCTCGTACACAGATTCGGAAGAGTCAAAATGACACCATGTATGGGGCATAACAAAGTCAAGTAAGTCCCGCAAAAAAATGCAAGGAAAAGAAAATCATAATAAAAAAATAGAAAAGCTTTTGGGACTTACATATTATATGCCCCTTACATGAGCATTTGAAGTAAAAACCATTCAGACTCGTGATGAAAAATTACTGGCTACCTCTGCTAATAGGCCTAAGAGATCATTTTGGGTTTACCTCAGGAGTGCGCAGTGCTCATCCTCTCAGTTGGCAAGGTCTATACACTCAAGTGAGACTATACATCAAATTAATCAGCCTTCCAAGCTGAAAGGGCATTTGTCTCCCAAGTGCGAAGAAATAACACAAGAAACCCTTAAAAGGAAGGGCCCCCAAGCCAAAAATGTCGACATACGCTTAAAGTACATCCCTATGATGATCTCCATTATCCAACACTTTCAAGTCAAAGAAGAACCCTCCCATGATAATAAGACTCGACAATTATGACTGCCACATAAAAGTCTTCATCCTTCATCAGTCCGAGAGCATATGAAAAGTAGAAGTCTGCATCATACCAATACCCTCTTTTTCCATCCTTTCAAGGTCAAATAAAGACCTCAACAAATGAGAAGATTTCATAATCGAGTTTAGTTACTTCACTACTCAAGCTTACCCCTCAAAAGTAAAAGTTCAAGACATGGGGGCAACATGATTCAACATATACCCATAAATATACCTAAGATAAACTACCATTATCAAGGAAAATGAGACTTCCTCAATAAGGATCTCCCCTATCCATCAACTGTCTCGTACGTTGGAGCAAACAAATATCCCTCTAGAGGAACTTTTCACGACAAAAATATGATCCCCATTATCTATCGACCAGACTCATACCTAGGGGGCAAGCCGAAAAACCCTCAATATAAAACTTCATATGACTAAACCCAGATGTCACAGGGATTTCCTTTACCCACCTCACTTGATGAAAGCATGATTTACATAATACGGGGACTCTTACAATAGGAGTCATACCAAGCAAGAGCCACCATTCAGGGAAGTTTGAGAACTTTCACACTGGGACCAAACAAAGATAGCTCGAACTCTTCCCAACCAGCCTATACCTTGAACACATTTTTCCCATCAAGCATGGTGACCAGCATCCTGATAGTAGCTGAAGTATCGTAAACTCAAATCACCCATAGGAATGAGTGAGAGTGAAATTGAGCGTGAGAGTGAATGAACGTGAGGGCTTATGAATATTCTCATGGCATGGCTTATAAAAAAACAAATTTTAAACAATGTGGCAATAACCACATAATAAATTATTTTTCTCAAAATTGCACACACTTCCCTCAATCGAGGCTTTGGTTTCTAAAAATCAGGTTCCCATTATACATTTTCAAACAAGATTTTTCAAACATTGTTTGCATTCGTCTTAAATCAAGATTGGCAAAAGTTACGCTTTGTTTCAAAGAGTGGAAAGCAAGTAACATCTTCTTGGGGGCAAATGGTGTGACCCAACAAAGAAAGAAGTTCAAATGCTCATAGTAGGTTTCCCTACTCTCCAAATCATGACTAAACAAGAAATCTCAGAGATCTTGAATCACTCTGTTCAAGCTATCCTGCTATTAAGTCAACTCATCCTTAAAGCAACTTTCCTATAATGAGCTCATGACTACCAATATACCATGATTACTCAAGAGAAGATATGTGGAACCCTAGCTTGAGAAACAAGCAACCCAACAGTTGGCACCAATGGGACATACCACAAGATGAAAGTGCACAACAGATCATGGGATACAACTTGATGTGGCCTTGAAGATGGATAATTTGAAATTCTCACAAGTCCAATACTCAATCTTCTCACTAATTCGTTGTGAGATTTCCATATACTCTTCACCAATTGGAGGAACGGGTCGATCGACTATCCTCTCATGGCCTATTATGTAGCTCACACCTTCCAGCGAAGTCAATCAAACATATCTTGTAAAACCGACATCAACAAGACAATACCCAGAGATGATAAATTCCTCTTAGCCAAGCACGACATACTCTCATAGCAACAATATCAATCAAACTAAAGGAACACATTATCTGTAGACCACCTTGCTACAAAAGTCACCCACATAATCAACCTACCAAACACATACCATGAGTAAGAAGATCATGTGGCTGCCACATCAGCCACTCAAGCACGAGTGTCCAGGCAAAGGACCCACTTATCGTCGGTACCTAGAGATGACATACTTTGGGCTCACTGGGGAGACAAAGAGGAAATACTATTTGGCAAGCCCAGTACCTCAAGAGGATGACAAACACCGAAGGAAGAAAGCACCCACCAGCAACACCCAAGTTACTCCAGAGCGAGCACAACTAAGGTTCAACTTTACTTAAAAGGGACAATGACGCAGTTCCTTGTGGATGATTAATTTAAAATAATACATCATAAAAACTGTGATAAATGATCATAATCTTCCTTTGCATACCCTTCAAGACATCATCATATGACTCATCATACAACCTTTTTCAAATGCACTTCAGACAATCATTTGACATCATTCATCATATGACTAATTACAAAATACCTTGCATTAGCATCATATCATATTACAAAATACCTTACCTTTGCGCATCATGGTGAAGTCGAATTCAAATATTTTACCAATACCAAGTTTGAGACATACCTAAGATCTACCTAGACTCAACTGATTGTGTTTTCAACACCTCATGCCAAGCACACAACTCTATGCCACTCGTCATCGAGTTAAGATTTCGCATATCCTCATGAATTTTATCGCCAAGACATACATGATCAATTAGGCTACACCGCCATGGATGAAAATCCCAGACCAAGCTATACCGCCATAAAACCCCAAATCAGGCTATACCGCCCCGGGAATCTCACCCAAACCAGACCATACTACCACGACAGCACACAAACCTAAATCACGCTATACCACCACGGGAAGCTCACCCAATCAAGCCATACCGCCAAAATACCAAAATATCAACTCAGGCCCTACCGCCAAATTAAAGTACCAAATACCAACTCAAGCCCTATCGCCATGATGCCTAAATACCAACACAAACCCTACCGCCCACGATATCTAAGAACTAACTCAGAACCTACCGCCACAATACCTAAGAAAGAAGACAGGCCCTACCGCCACACAAAAAGACCAATGCAGGCTATACTACCATGAAAAGAAACCATTGCAAGCTACACCGCCATAAAAAAAAAAGAAATCATTTCAGGCTATACCGCCAAGATACAAAGAAACCCAAGTCAGGCTATACTGCTCTAGAAACAACCAAACCCAAATTAGGCTATAACGGCATGGGGGCAACATAGACCAAGATCAGGCTATACCACCATGGGACCACGAATCCCGACTAGGTTGAACCACCATGTTAGCAAAACCCAAATCAGGCTCTAGCGCCATGGAACAAAAAAAACTAAACAAGTCCATACTCTAAACCAGGCCATACCACCATGAGAGTAAGCAAGTCCTTTTTGCTATACCGCATGGGAACAAACAAGTTATATCGTCGCTTGAACTGATTGATACTTTGTTTAGCTTCTAAAAATATATAAACCGAAAAAAATGGTGTTTTAAGATAACTTTGTATACCTCTCAAATACCAAGAGATATACAAAGGGGGGCAACTGTAGACACCACTTTTTGTCCGGGTTAAAATCTTTTTACTTAAATAAATTTTAGTTTTTATTGAAGATTTGCAATAGCGAGTTACTTGATTTTCAAACTAAAATATATTGATAGTGCATGAGACGGTCGTGTTCGCATTAACTCTATGAGATAAGAAATAGCCAATCTCGATTGATAGAGTTGTTTAAGACATTCACTCGGCTTGGGTTAGTGGGGTTTTGATTTTCATGTTCTGGTTTGGTTAAGCGAATTAACCAATTGATTAATCTCATTGTCATGAGTTGTTTAAGACCAATAACAATTGAATTGGACGATAGAGTTGGAGTTGAGAACAATAAAATATGAGGAGAAGGTTAAACATAAATTACCCTTAACATAAGTTTTGATTACTAAATAATAATTATAACTATGATTAGTAATCAATTACAATTACATAGACCCTTTCATTAAACAAAGATTACAAATTACAAATTTTATTACAAGGGATCAAAGCCAAAGTCAACTCAGTCCAGCCCCAGTCAACAAAGTCAAACCGGTCAGAGAACAGGTCTGACCAAACCCATATCGGTCCGACCCAACTCAGACCGGTCCGACCCAAACCCGACACTGTTCCAGACTTGGGTAACAAGTTGACTCTCCTATAAAAAAACACGCCACTTTTCTGAATAAAGGGGGAGCTCTTCTTCTTCTTCCTTTCCCCTACCTCGATCTGCTCCTTCTCAACAAAAGCAGGGGCTGAACTTTCTTCTTCATCTTCACCCCTGCACTTCCCTTTCCCTTTCCCCCTATTCCTCTTTAGCCATGATAATCCTAAACAAAAAAAAAATTAAACAGATACAGATTTTCTCATTCTTATCCCAAAGAGCAAAAAGCAGTAAAGAAGAGCACCTAAAAAACCATTCACCTCCGCCCAACTTTCCCCAAGATCATGCACAGATCTTGAGTAAAAAACCCAGCAAGCTTGTAAGAGTAAAAAGGGCAAACTTCCACCTTCCACCTTTTCTGTTCTCATAAAAAAGGCTTCCAAGCAAAGGGGAATAGGAGAAAGCGTCTGAAGCAAAGAAGCTAGGACCAGTAGAGGCCAAAGAAGGAAACAAACAAACAACCACCACATCCCAATCACAAGCCAGGGTAGGTTATTCTCATCACTAAAAAACCATCATCATCACCACTTCACACCCTCCACACTTAAAAACACAAATATTTGTCAAATGCTTTCTATGCTTATTTCTTTACTTCATAAGCTGGTTTGTTCTACTTTCTATGTTTTCTATGCTTGTTTTCTTTACTTCCTAAACTGGTTTGTTCTACTTTCTATGCTTTCTATGCTTCTTTTCTTTACTTCCTAAGCTGGTTTGTTCTACTCTCTATGCTTTCTATGCTTGTTTTCTTTACTACCTAAGCTGGTTTGTTTTACTTTCTGCTACTGTCTGTTTTTATTCGCCAAGTATATTAACTAAAGAAACTCATCTCAAAGAAGCATCTAAGTTTTTCGATCAAAATAAGAAACAGTAAACTCAAAACATATGGCTGCTGGCATCAACCAACCTTTGTTGTTTAGTTTATACACTACTTTTACCTCTAATATATTTAAACATGGCACACCTCAAAGTACTATATCTTAATAAACTTGCTAATCACTGATTAGGTAAGCTAAGTATCTGCCAATCCCAAAGTTCTCGTTTTTATTAAGCTCAAATAACTCAAGTTTCGAACTTTTAAAGAAACAATCAGAAACAAGAACTTGATACCATACAAGCAAAAACAGTTTTTGAAAGGTATTTTAAAATACCTTGTTTCTGTTTAAAGGGCTTCCCCTCTATCTTAAACTCAATACCTTAGTTCAAATTTAACACGTAGGTATTATTAACCGGTCTAGCAAGAGCTTGAGCTTTTGCTAAACCCTTTTTGCTTCTTATGATGATTTAAATCGCTTAAAATCTGTTTTTGCTAAGTCATGTGCTCAAGCAAAAAAATATGGAGGGATTTCACCTGTGAAGTTCTCGTCCTAAACCTGCAAAATCAGAGAAGTCAGGAGTCAGAACCCCAAATAAAAAAAAACCAAAATATAAAATACGCAAAAGCAGAACCTACCTAAAGCATTCGCCGTCGGCTTTGGTGTAATCCACGCCGCCGGCGCCAGCGACCGCCGCCTCTCCCTTCCTTATCTCGGTAGAAACAAAAAAACCAAAACAAAAATCGAAACAAAAATAAAACAAGTTAAATCTAGATCTAAGTCCCAAAATCAAACAAAATTGGGTGTGCATGTCCGATAATCTTACCAGAGGGCAAGATCCTCTTGTCACCATCGTGTCTCTAACCAGAATCAAAAGCTTTCCCCTCGGTTTGGAGTCGATTTTCGAAAAAAAACAAGAAATAGGATTGAGAATTCTAAAAGACTAAAATCAAATCTAAAATTGAGCATGCAAGCAGAAAAACGAACCCTTAGGCCTCCCTAGCCGTTCGTTTGTCATGGTTTGGCCGCGCTCGCCGTCGTTTGCCGCCGCCGGCGCCTTTCCTCATCTCGCCGTTTCCAGAAGTGGGGTGAGAGAGAGGGTGTCGGCGGCGATTCACCTGAGTGGCTAGGGTCCCGTTGTCTTTTCTTTGAAGGAGGATAAGAGAGAGGCGAGTGAGGTTAGTAGAGAGGAAAGAGCGGCATTTAGCTAGGGAGGCTAGGGTTTCGGTTAGTCTTGGACGAGAAGAACGAGAGGTTTGAGAGAGAGTGGCGGCTGCTTTAGTTTGATTAGGGTTTCCATTTTTGGTTTAAAAGACCAATTTATACCCACCCGGAAAAGACTAGTTTACCCTTAGGGTTTCGCTCTAATTCTACTCCCTTGCCACCACGTTTTTTGGCCTTTTACCAAAACGAGAATTAGTAAAAAATGAATGCTGCAGGTTTCGAACCTACATTCTCGGGTCGAACGAGACATGTGACTGGCGCCTTAGCCAGTTGGGCTGCTGGCCCATCTTGCAACAATCTAATCATCCCATTTAATTTTATGATTTAACATCCTTAATACGAAATGTTAAGATGAGGATTACGTTTATCTCGTATTTTTGTCCAATACATCGAATTACCTCCTAAATATTATAATCCGTGCAAAACTATAAATGAAGTATTTTTGTCCTAAATATTTCTTCCTTTGACCCCAAGAAGAAGAAAATCTAAAGATATTTTGATTTTTAGAGGGTTTTCTCCCATAAGGCCTTTTGAAAAAACTCTTGTATCTGGCACTACAAAATAGATCCGTAGACTCCATCTCGAGACAACATTGACAGAGGGGCTACACGGCCAATGTGCCATGTTGAATAGAAATCTGTCAAATCCAAATACTAGGTTTGTTGTCTACCAATAGGATGTATTGTATTTTCCTGTCCTCGTGAGTTTCTAGTTCGATCAATTGTATAGGTTTATTAACTCTAAAGGTTCCAAAGACTATGTATGATGTTATGATTCTTTATCATCCTTCAATAAGGCACGCCTAGGCTTAATTAGACGCTAGGCGTTGGCGGAACACCATGACTTGGGATTATGCATTGTAAAAGGCGTTGGTAGCGCTTAATAGGTGGGAATAAAGCCTAATTTTTGCCTAGTTGGGGAGAAGGTCACAATAGGCAGTCAAAGGCGAGTTAGTTGATCAAATCAATACACTCCATTTTTTCCCTCTCTACTCCTCTCTTTCGTGAATCGTAACCTAATAGAGATAATCAGAAAGAAGGGAACATAGGGAGAAGAAGAATTGAGAAGTCGATGATATAATTCTTGCCCCATTTGCTGTTGCTCCATTCTTTCCACCTCGCCTCCGTAGGAGAAGGTCGTCAATTGGGCTTTGTTCCACTTGTTTCTCCTTTTGTCTCGCCACTCTGCCACCACAAAGAGAATTCATCTGGTGAAACCAGTCATCTGCTACTCTTGCCTTCACGCATATCGGTGCTACATGGAGAAACTGTCACTCAAACCCCGTCTGCTGCTGCTCATGCCTTATCGTCGGTCCAACGCCATCGGGAGAAGCTGCCTCTTTCCTCTGTAAGTACCTCTTAGCTCATACCTTACCCAAATGTGCAAACCAACCCCATATGTACTAATGTTCCATTTTTTTTTTTTTTTTTTGCTTTCTCCTACACGGCTACACCACATATTTGTTCATACTCCTTCCTTACCCTCATTATTCCAGTCTTCCTTCTTATTTTAAGCTCTGCAGATTGATTCATGTTTCATAGGAAATTCTGTTTTTCCCTCTTCCCCTTCGGACTTTAGTGTCTAGCCCTTCATTTTGCTTTCTAGTAAGATTGCTTAGACAAGGATGTTGTTGTTCGATGTCCAGCCAAGATTCAAGTTTGGTGCATAAATGCCCGAAGGAACCACCAGAAGCTAAAGCATGCTTGAAAGCCTTTGAGAATACAAAAAAAAAGAGAGAATACTTCCATTGAACAAGAGTTAAGTGATGATGTGATTGTTTCCTCTTGTCAGCAGGATGAAGAAATGACTTGTGTTGGTAGTTCAGAACCTCACAAGTTATGACCTATGGATAAGTGGGCACGTTCTATTGATCCTAAGTTGTCTACAGTCTAACACTTCAATAATAGAAGGCAATGTCTAGAGAGAGTGAGGAGCAAGATAGGGAGCCAAAAGGGCGCAGGGAGTCTGAGCGATCCGGAGTGGGTGAGTGTCAACGTGGGGGCTATTTTTAAGAATGGGTCTTCTTCTGTTTGTTCCCGCAGGTTGCAGGAGTTCGGGATTGGCAGTGGCGGCAGCCGGCGACAAGAAGTGTGTTCACGAAAACTGTGGGCTGGATCTAAGCTCGTGTAAATTTCCCGGGAAGAATCTGGTGCAACATTTTGGTATAGAATCCTTTCGATGGAGGGATGGAAAAATTGGTTCTTCCTGTTGAGTTAGTCTTATCTTTCTTGGCTAAAAGGTTTCCTTCAAACGGCAGCTATGAGTGGTTGGCATTTCATATATGGCTATGTGAAGAGGTGCGGCGAGCGTGTTATTCATGCCTTTAAGGCTATTATCAGAAGAAGGGCTTTTCTACAAATATCGGAAACGGTTAAGAGCAGACGCATTTTCAAAGTCTTAATCCTCTCCTCTGGGGTAAGGAAGGGCCGGGCAAAACTAATTCTCTTGGTTCATGAGTTTTTTCAGTATGAACGCAGATTTCGCGATAAGTGTGCATCATGCTGGCCGAACCCATACTCCTCCTCGACCACTTCATCGCAACATCAGCAGTCAAGATCTTATTTTGAGGTGGTTAAAGGTGGGGGTCTGTATGGTGCTGGGAGGTGCAGAATTAAGGCTTCGGGTAGAGATCGGTTCATCGAAGTGGAAAAGTATGGCGTTCAATAACGGCGCGAGTTTCTGGGAATGAGTTTGGTGATTGAGTTCCTTTCAACTATAGAGGAGGTATTTTCTGATAGGGATGTGCCTGAGTTCAGCAGCTGGGCTACTAAGTACTAGGCTATTGACGTTAATTAAGGTTTTGAGAGTATGAGAAACGGGAAGTGGATTCTTACTTGCCCAAGCATACAGCAAGCACTTCGCATTAAGTCCTTTGATCAGTGTAAGTTCAAGAGCTTCATAATGGAGTTCTCTCACTGGAATAACGGCTCCCCTAAGTTCAGTTCTTCTCCAGCTCGAAGGGTTATGGTGTTTGGGATTCCATTTCATTTAAAAAGTGTCAACTTGTGACACACTAAAACACAACACCAAACTACGACCAAGTGCAATCGTAGTCCGGAAATGCAGTAAAGTGGCAAGCTCTATTTGTCAACCCGTGGTCCAGATCTACTGCCTACTCCGTGATTATCTATTGTCTAGCAAACTAAGTCGAGTGATTGTGTTTTAAGCAAAAGCAGTAAGAAAACAGGAAATGGTTCGAAGTTCTTTAGCAAGGGGATAGTCACTCGGGAATGAGTCCCCCTAGCTCCTTAGTTAGGTCAAAGTTGCAATTACCTTTTGTTGATTTAATATAGATTAAACTGTGGAAGATGCGACAGTAGCTTGGAATCTCTTAAGCTGACCAAGCCCTCTCAGACAGACTAACCAGCAGTCGACTAGCCTTCACCATCTATTTGGTGCAAATGCCAATTCTGAATAGCTGCAACTGCAAGCAAAGTTTTTACAGAACTAAGCTTAGCTATTGGTGAGAATGTATCACAGTAGTCTATGCCATAAACTTAAGTAAAACTCTTTGCCACTATCCTTGCTTTGTGCCTCTCAATTGTACCATCCGAGAACAGCTTCAATTTGTAAACACATGTATTACCAATGGCCTTCATCCCAACTGGTAAATTTGTGATTTCCCAAGTTCCATTATCTATCTGGCACTTCAACTCTTCTTGCATTGCCTTATGCCAGTTGGGATTTAGAGCTGCTTCTTGATAATAAGTTGGCTCTAGGTGAGATGTGCTATTGATGAAGTGTTGATATTTGGGCAATAAATGTGTATAAGATAAAGCTTTATGAATGAGATATTGGATATTATAATCTCCATGCCAGTTACGTGGTCTAATGGTTCTGGTTGACTTCCTTAACTGAACATGATATGATTAGTTGGATTGAGAGGTACTTGGATGGTGAGTTGCAGAAAATGGAGATGATGTAGAAAGAGAATGATTGTCCTGAGGACCAGCATGAGGAGAAAAAGGAGAAGGAGAAGGAGGAATTGGAGAATGTAGTGGTGATGTCCCCCCCCCCCCCTCAGACGGATGATCATCAGAGACAGTGTTACAATCAGTAGATGGTGTTGAAAACTTGCCAAACTTGAGGGTGGTGAAAGAAACAATAGCATCTTTAACTTCTCCATTTGATCTTTAGTCAGCTGTAAACTTGCCAAACTTCAGGGAGCTTCATATCCCCTTGTTGGAATAGACAAAACACCCAACCCAACACTCGCAACATCACTACTAGTCTCAACTAATCCTGCAAAATTTGAACTACCACTCTTAAGCTTGATGCACTCATAAACAATGTGAAAGTCCTTACAGTATCTACAATACTTCTTCCCATCTTTGTAATCTCTGGAGTTGGTTTGTGAATGTTGTCCAGAGGCTGCTGTTAGAGCAACAGATTCAAGACCAGTCACCTTTTTCACACCTTTCGTCCGACGTTCTAGCTGTAGGATTTGCTTAAAAACAACGTCAATGGAAGGCAGGATAGGGTTCATTAGAATCTGTGTTCTAGTTGACGGGTAGATTGGGTTTAACCCTTGCATGAACTTAATCACAAAATAATTGCCCTGGTATCTCTTTAGGGTTTCATAAGGACCATTGCAAGGAGATACTGGAATAGGTCTGCAATTCTTAAGCTCTTCCCACAGAACGGTAACAACAGTGAAATATTGATTCACTGACTGTTCCTCTTGGACACACTAAGCCAGCTGCACTTGCAAATAAAAAACCCTAATATTTTGTTATTGACTAAATCTAATTGTGAGATTATCTCACACGGCCTTAGCACTTTCCAATCTCATCATACTATTAGCAATATCTTTAACAAGAGAATTGTAAATCCAACAACGATGGTCCATTACAACGAAGCCAAGACTAATAGATAGGATATGTTACCTCTAGTTGTGGAATGGTACCATCAATGAAACCCATTTTGTTCTTGGTACCCAGAGCTACAAGCATCACTTGGCTCCATATGTGGTAATTTCCGTTAACAAGCTTCACTAAAACGATGGTGGAAAGTGCTCCATCTTGTGGTGGAAGGTAGTACGGATTAAGGTATGGATGTTCGTAAGCAATGACCTTGACAGACCCAGATTTGGATGAATCATCCTTGCCGGAATCTTCTGCTGAGCCATACATGTTTCAAAGAAAAGAAGGTAGATGATGGAAGGAAGAGTAGAAGAAATGGATAGGCAGAGGGACGAAACCCTAGCAGAGTAGAGAGCAACCAGGCTCTTATACCACAAGAAGAAATGCACAGTTGCTCGATGAGCCTTTCCTGTGAATCAGAGAACTAAATATATACAGAGTTGCTAAATACTGTTTACTAATGGCTAACTCTAACTAACAATTAATTTAGCCATTTACAAAGAGACACGTATAGCTATACAGTAAAACATGAAACTCTATTCTAACAAGTAAAACACCGCACTTCACTTAGACGTTGTCGTTTGGCTCTACTTCTTTCTTTCTTTCTTTCTTCTTCTTCTTCTTCTTCTTCTTCTTCTTCTTCTTCTTCTTCTTCTTCTTCTTCTTCTTCTTCTTCTTCTTCTTCTTCTTCTTCTTCTTCTTCTTCTTCTTCTTCTTCTTCTTCTGGATTGAAGCAGAGCTTCCTTCAACCATTGCAGAAAAATAGCTGGTTTAATCATTGTCCACCTCCTTCCGCTAGAAGGGAAGTTGGAGGATTGGGTACCATTTGTATCTTGAATCTGTTGTCCGTTCAGTGCCCAATAATCGTCGAATCCGCTCTCGCCACCACAATTGTCATCTCCTCTCCGCCGCCTAGCCGAGGATGAAGATAAGAATTTAGTAGTGGGGCAAGGGAAGAGGGGCGACGTAGATGGTGGAGTTTATTATTTATTTTAGATTGTTGTTTAATAAATAAAAAATAGTCTCAAAATTCCAAATCATATGTCACATCTGACTATATTTTATATTAATACTAACATAATCAGTTGACGCAAAAGATATGAATGAAATAGTAAATAAAATAGGACACAAAATGACATTTTATTAATAGTTCGAGTCTTGTAGTTGTATTATTCCAAACTTTTTCCCAAACTCAAGCGACCTCGACCTAAAACAATGTTTTCCAAAAAAAAAAAAAAAACAAGATCATCACTACGTAGTTGGAATTTGGAAGACCACGTGGGAATCCAATTTCGTTAATTTAAACCCTATATTTAGCGGATCAGATGCCACCCATCATTCAGGTATATGCAAAACCAACACAAAGGAAGCGATTGCTCCACTTGAAGCTGGCTGAAGCGGGATGGGTGACCCTCAATTATACTGATGGATTTGTTCGAGGGCCTGTCTCAATAGCAGTGTGGTAGGTGGGGATCGTTTGAGATTGCTCAAGCAGAGATATGGGGACTTTGATGATGTCGGAGCTCCGAGGTGCACTTAATGAATTAAATAAGCTTGGAGTATCGAAGTATAGAGGGACTGAGGGAGGAACTCCAAATGGACTCAGTAGTTGTGGTTACTCTTTTTGGCCAAACCAGCAGATGATGATTAGAGGATTGCACTCAATCCCTAATGGCACTTTGCAAACTTTCGATCCCAAAACTAGTGATTGGATCAACTATGCTGTAACGGGATTATGAAGTCGAAAATAATTAATATAACGACTTCGAAAGCCCCTTTGCATCTATATGACAGATTGATTCAACCACATTCTTTTTCATCCTATCGCTCCACCTACATTTCAATGGTGAGGGTTAAATCACCAATCTCATTTAGGACACCGATTCACCGACCACGACGATTCCATTATCGTTGGAATCCAAATACAAACAAACAAACATTGGCGGATCCAGGGGAGGCCACCCCGGTCACGGCCCAGCACTCCTTTGGATTCGGAACTAGTATAGTTTTTATGAGTAATCGATTTTAGTTATTTGATTCAGTGTTATTTTATAATAAGATTGTGTGTAATTAGAAAAATGGGTCAGATGTACAAATTCAAATCACAGCTCTAAATTTAGTCTGTAAATTATAGCTCCAATGATTCTCTTCTAAAGAAAAACAAATAATGAAACCTAAAATTCTAAAAGTCTAAAACGTAAAAGACTAAAAGAAATATGAGGTTTGCTTCCTTGAAAAATTACTTGAGCAACTGATAGAAATAGGGATGGCACATAATACAAATTGATTAGTCGATTGATTTGTCTAGTGTTGACATTGTCTGTTTCAACAGCTACTATGGAGAGAATCTTTTCAACAGTGAAATATGTGACAAATTATTTGCACAACAAAATTAGCGATGAATTTCTCGCTGATTGGTTAATTTTTTTTATCTGAAAGAGAGTATGTTATTGGTGTGTATGTAGACTCCATTATTGATAAATTCACTATATCAAAATTTAAAAAATCGACAAGTATAATTGATATTATAAAAAAATTATAATTTATTTTTAGGATATCTAATTTTCTAATAAAATCCAGCACAATACTCTACTGTATTCAGAATTCGCCGCTACAAACAAAATAATTAGAAATGAACAAGAACAGGCTGGAACAGTGGCATTTGCTCTCCTTTTTCAGTTTGGACTGTTTTGTGTGCCCGCGGAGAAGACTTCTGTCCACTCTCCACTAGACACCTTAGTGTTATGTTTGGGAACCATGACGTGACGTGGCTGACCCGCATAGGATGACATAATTTAAGAAAATCGGGCATACGTCAAGTAGAGGACGTCTAGCTTGCGCCATATTCTAGATCTAGACGTCTTCCACGTGTTTAATTTTTTTTTTTACCGATTATGTATTAGTATTTATAATCCATATTTATAATTTCATACTTAAGAAGATGTGGTACTCCGGTGTAATTATTTAATCAACAGGTGTCATAATGAGATTGGCCGGGAGTACAACATTACAAATCCTACGTAGTATTCCGATGACGATGACTAATAATTCCTCACGTTCGCATATGAGTAAATGCCAAATTGTTTTGTTTACATTTGTTTCTCAAGTCTTGTTTGTTTCTTAGGGTGGTTTGGAGAACAGGATTGAGGGCATAGATTCATTGAATCCGTAAATTTTGTAGAATGTTATGTTTTTTTTTCTTTTTGTATTGTAGATTTTAGTTTTAAAGATTTCAAATCTCTAAAATCTACGGATATCAAATCTACAGAGATTATATATCTTGATTCATGTGAATGTTTTTCTCCTACCTTTTCTCATCCTTTAATTTATTTACCATATTAAATATATTTATCAATAAAGATTTAAATATTTCTCAAACTATCTAATTTTTTACTAAGGATAAACATGTTATTTAAATGCATAAAAAAACATGTTATTTAATATTAAACTAAAATGTATATTTTCATTGAATATTAACAATCACAGTTATCAAACAATAAACATTATAAAATCTGTTTTCAACAATTTAAAAAATTAGAATCTTCATATTATTGATAGTCTATAAATTTAAACTCGTATTTTTCAAACGAGTGCTTAGTTCTTTCCCTTACTCTTCATTTTCAGTAATAATTATTATATCTCTCTTAAAAAGAAAAGAGCTACACCAAGATTCCATCCAAAAAGGATCCTGATAAAAGTGTTTGATCCAACGGTGGAGAAAGCCCATCAATCGTGATCAATGAACCGTCACTGCACCAGCACCAGCACCCATCGTTGATGAAACCAAAAAAAAGTCTCAACTCCCCCATCTGATCGTCACAAATGTGTCCACACCAGATGCAAATTCCATCACGTGCTCTTTTTCTTACACACCTTCCTAATTCGGATATAAATTAAAAGCCGAGTGAGCTATCAGGTACCATTCCCAAACAAACACGGATTTAGCTCACTTGCTCTACACCAGCCGCTGTCCTATCATCCTTACTCCCTAGCTTCCCCTTCATTGAAAAAAAAAACCCCCCAAAATGGTTCGAGCTGCTTTCTACGACGACAAGGGGCTGAAGAAAGGCGCGTGGAGCAAAGAAGAGGACGAGAAGTTGCGGGACTACATCCTCCGATACGGCCATTGGAACTGGCGCGAGCTCCCCAAGTTCGCCGGCTTGTCTAGGTGCGGAAAGAGCTGCAGGCTTCGCTGGATGAACTACCTTCGCCCTGACTTGAAGCACGGCAATTTCACCAAAGAAGAAGACGATCTCATCTTCCAACTCTACCAACAGCTCGGAACCAAGTAAAACAACATCCCCGTCGACACCATCAAATCTACTTTTCCGTAAGTAATCCTTTTTTTCTTTCTTTCTTTCTCCATGCTCCAGATGGTCAGCAATAGCTTCCAAGATGCCCGGAAGAACAGACAACGAGATTAAGAACTACTGGCACGCGCATCTCAAGAAGCGAGTAGGGTGGACAGCTGCTGCTGCGGCGGCGGCGCCGAAGAATGAGAACAGATCATCGTCGTCTTCACTCGGCAGTCAAACCCGCGGGGAGATCGATGACATGGACGCCGAAGGTGCCACTTCATCTCCTGGCAACACGATGATGACAATCTCTCCTCCCATACTCGAGAGCTCCCCATTGTCGTCACCGGCTGCCTCCTCGTCCTGCGGCGCTGAATCGGAGCCGGTGAATGCCGCCGTCGGAAGTTGGGAAGATGGGATTTATAGTTATGATTACCCAAATTGCTATGAGACGATAATTAGTGGTTGCGGTGGTGGGGATTTCTGGAGCGAGCCATTTGTGGTGGATGATGGTACAGTATTATACGGTGGTGGCGAGAGTTATAACAGTGACCAGCCATATCTTTTTTCGTGGGTAGGAGGAGATGATGATGACGACATATCGCTAATGTACCGAGTGATGCAAGAGCTTCCAGACACTACTACTACTACGCCGTGTCTCTTATGAGAGCTTTAATCAAGGACAGGTGTCCCGGGCCCTACTTTGGGATATATATATGTTCTTTTAAGAGAGAACCTTTTCTTTAATTGATCATCTTTGACCTACTTACAAATCGTGCCGGCCGATTAGTTTAATTAATAAATCCAAGTGAATCTAATTATTAAAGTGTGATAGCTAGCTAGAGACATCATCTAGGGGTCGTTTGGATGAGGATTTTTAATATGAGAGATTTGTGAGAGATTTAACTTCAAATCACTCGTTTAAAATATCAGGAATTTTATTGGCAGGAATTGTCCAAATTAACTCGTTTGGAAGCTAATGAGGGTTTTCACGCTAGAAAGGAAAAATACAGTTTTACCCCATTTGTTTCTGGTGATCTTCGTTATCGGCAAGAACAACAATGTGAAACCCAGAAATCGTCTTCTTCAACCAATCTATTATTGCTCCCGACCCAGTGATTTCTTAGCAAGCACATATACCGACACCCACTTGATTTTTTGTCCCTGCAAGACCACTGCTTCCCTTCCATTTTTGTTTTTGTCCCCACCAACTATCCCTCCCCTTCAGAAACATCAATTAGCAACCCTACACCAAGCATAATCACAGTTGCTCCTAGCATCATCGTCCACCGCTGCCACGCCCGCAACGCAAACCTCGGCCACCGCCTGCTCGACCACCGCCTCGTCCTCCTCTAAACCTGCCACCGTCTCGGGGTTTCATGGTTCTTCTTCTTCGTTGCCGCTGTTACAGGGAGGATCGCCGAGCTTAACCAGGAGACAGTGGGAAGAAATTGAAGAATGCCGTTGTTATTGGGGCAACGTTCAAATCCCAGGCGGCGGTGGGAAGAAATTGACGACGAGTGACCAGGTTTGGCGTCGATGTTCAAATTCCATGTGATGGTGGGAAGGAATCGAAGACGAAAGACCAGTTTGGGCGGCGCTCAAATTTTCAGGCGGCGGTGGGAAGGAATCGTCGACAGGGACCAGGTTTGGGTGGGAAGAATATCTCGACGTGATGGGAAGAATTGGGTGAGGACCAGTACCGCAGCTCTTGGGCAACGGACGACATTGGGTAGTGTTGGTGTTGAATGGGTCGACGACGAACTGCAGATAGAAGAAAGAAAGGGTAACGGTTGGAAAATAAAATATAAAAATGAGAGATTTCGAAATAGCTGGTGGTCATCAGCTATTTCAAAAACCCACGTTTAAGGGTTTCTCAAATCTCTAATTATTAAAATCTCTCATTGTTTATGTTTTTGCCAAACAAGTGATTTTATTAAAATCCCTAATTGTGAGAGATTGTTTTAAAATCCCTCATAGGAAACCCTTATCCAAACGGGCCCTAGAGTTATTTCTAGATATTTTTTTTTTAGAAACAAAGCGCCGAGGGGCATCCTAACCCTTAACTATTAACCAAACGAGGTTTGAATCCCCAAAGTGTCAAAATACAACCAGTGGCTCAACATGGAACTCGGGTTTTCAAAAACATGGACCCCTGCCGGTAAAGCATGACCAACAGAGGCAAGGTAATCAGCAACGACGTTGCCCTCGCGGAAAATGTGGCCGATATGCACCTCCCACTCCCTAGCCAGTAGATCCCGAATAGCGGACACCTGAACGTAATGCGGATGGCCTGGAGTTGCTTCCTGTAAAAGTTGGACTGCCATAGCTGAATTGGTCTGCACCAACACTTTTCGGCAGCCCTCTTCCCATGCAAGCTGCAGACCGATAACAATCCCTACTATTTCTGCATGAGTAATAGACCCACCAACCAAGTTTGCCGAGAAAGCCTTCACGAAGCAAGTTCTGCCAGCCGATCAGTTTCATGCTGCGAGCAGGGCCTTCACCTAAAACCTTCCTTGCCATTACCCCCGCCTGCTCGATTTGTCACCGCAAAGCCCTGACTTGATTTAAAAGCTGTTGTGTAGAGGCCAACTGCTTTTCAAAAACCCAAGTGTTCCTGTTCTTCCAAAGATTCCAGCAAATAACTGCAAACAAAGGTGAATCAACAATCTTGCTCCGGTCCGACAAATAGTGCATTACCCAACGATCAATACTTGTGTTAAAGAACACGGCATCAGGTTCATCCGAGAGGACTTCCACCCAAATAGCTCGTGCGTATGAACAGTCTCAAAGCACATGGATGGTCGTTTCCGGTCCGCCGCCGCAAACAATGCAGCCGTCCGCAGCAGCTAGGTGGCTCCGACGTCTCTCGGCGTTGGTGAGCAATCTGTTATGCAGCACGAGCCAAAAGAATGGCTTCAGGCGCTGTGGCCCTTCGACTTTCCAAGCAGCCTTCCAAGCTGGGTGTCGCCAGCTCTCTTCCTCCCCTTCCGCTGTCAACTCGTAGGCGGACGAGACCGTAAAGCGCCCAGATGACGAGAGCCGCCAAAAGGGTGTGTCCGCCTTGCCTGCATGAGGTACTGGGTGGAGCTGAAGCTGCATGACAACCGCTTCGGGGAGATAAAGTCGGGCATAGTCTAGATTCCAGTTCCCGTTCAAGACCATCTTGGCAACCTTAACGTTAGTCGCTTCCAGGGGTAGGGCCTCGGCTAGCTCGCCCAGAGGAGGGCCATCCTGTAACCAAACATCTTCCCAGAATCTTGTTCCCATCCCATTCTTCACATTCCACATAATCCCTTTCGGTAATAGATGGAGGATTCGTAGAACTCCCCGTCAAAGGTTCGACATTCTGCCCGCAGTACGCGGTATCCAGCCCTCTGCTGTGCGGCGTAGATACTTGGCATTAATTACTATCGCCCACAGAATTACTATGGGAAAAAAGCCCTTCTTGCAACACTCGGATTGCAACACTACTTGAAAGTGTTGGGTTAAATATGTTACGACAACACTTTTTTTTGGAGTTGCGTATTGGATAGTTTACGCAACTCAATTTAATTATAGGTTGCAATTATTCTCTTAACACAACACATATGTCAAAATAAATTTACTGTTGCCTAAAAGCAAAGGAAAGGTAAACTCGCGAGAATCTGAAACCAATATGAAGCCAATATGAAGCAATGGCAAAAGAGTACTGCATGAAGAACATTCATCAGAGATAGTCTCACAAGCCAAACTGATTTCCTCAGGTACCATAGTTGACCACACACAAAGGTTGTCAGGACAAACAAAGCATACGAAATCTGAGGGAATCTTCTCATTTAACTCAGATCTGAAACCTGGAAAAGAAAATTCGGACGCAATAAAGCTCCCAAGTCAACAGGGAAATGGTGCTAAACTATAATTTATCCGGGGAATCGTATCCCTTCCTAATCAAACAAAAAGATTTAGTCAAACAAGATAACTCATCTCATCTCTGATCCCCAACAATCTGGAACGTCAGACGTTTATCACAAATTATGTTCATATGCTGTTCCATCCTATCCACCATCCCTAAGATCCCTGATAATACTTGGATCCAACTCATGGTGATCCAATTGAATTCGCAGCAACAACAATTCAAATTTACACACTAAAACGCATAGGAAACTGAAAATCAAAATAAGAACTTGGAGTCAGATTTATAATGAAAAGGACATAAACTTGAATCATGAAATCGTCAATTGTACCAAGGAGGATAAATGAGTGCAGTGAAGGTCACTCACTCTTTAATTGAGGCTGATCTTTAGATGGGTAATGCTTGCTTGCTTTGACAATCAACAGTCTGCTGCTGAAGTAAATCACAACATAGGACATGAACACCCAACTGTCGCGAACACAGAGCATAAATCAGGACTGCTCAGATCAACTTAACGCAAAAATACAAAACCATAGAATCAGCAAGCAGCAGGAGAGCCTTACTACATACAACAGGAGTGCCATATCCAAAAAGAAATACAAAAACGGAGAATCAACAACCAATAAGGAGCAATTTGATGTACCAACACAGGTCCCTTGCGGCAGCCGTACCACATCATCACATAATCGTATAACTTGACACCAATGACTATATTCGTATTTTAATTTCTTGTCACTAAAGAAGCTCGTTAGTCGTCAAACCATTAAATTTGTGACGAAACATGTTCTCGCAATTAATAGAAGTGACGACACGTCTTCTCACTGAATAGAGTATTGTAGCAATATGTGTCCTAAAATCTTGTCACAAAATGCACTCATTTAGGACATACGTTATTGTCATTTTTGGGGTATACTCGTGTCATCAACTCTTGTCACAAAATAAGGCTGAAAAGATAATTTTATTGTCAAAATAGAAATACATTCGTGATAACTTAGTGATGCATCACCATTGCTTTATTAGTGACTAGCAAAGATGTCACAAACGCTAACCTTTTGCGATGAAAGGTTGGTCACCAATGAATGGGATTTGCGAAGTTCGTGCTGTCAATTTATCACTAATGCTGCTTTGAGTGATTAGTAAAGTTGTCACCAAATATATCCTTTTGCAACAAAATATTGGTCACAATTGACATCATTTTGTGGTACGTAAAGTGTTTTCGTGATAACAAAATTTGTCACAAATTATTTCTTTTGTGAAAGTTAGATAATCACAAAAGTATATTGTGAGTGACGATCGAAATTTGTCACACATGAGGGATATACGTGACAGTAAACTATGTCACAAATAGTTACTTTAATGACAACCAACTAAACCCCTAAATCTTACCTTGAATTTCAAAATGTGTATTTGTGACAACATTATGGTCACACTTGTAACTATTCGTGACAAGTAGACATGTCACAAGAGTAGTTTTCGGGACTAGACTGCCTCGTCACAAAAAGATTTTTTATTAACGATAAGATTGTCACGCAAGTTCTTATTTTCGTTACGAACAATGTTGTCACAACTGATTTAGTTATTCGTGACGGTTTAGACCCGTCACGTATACAAATATTACTATTGCCAAAACTTAAAAAAACCGTTGCCCATTTTACAAAAATGTGTTGCAAAAATTGTGAAATGTGTTGCCTAAAGTGGTGTTGCGTAAGAGGTAAGAATACGCAACCCTTTATATTTGGGTTGCGAAAAACGAAAAAACAGTTGCCTATTCCTTTTGCAACCCCCACTATATGCAACCTACCAAAACTGTTGCGATAGGTTTTCGCAACCCTTTTAATACATAATGCAACACATTTGTGGGAGTTACAAGAGGCCATTTTTCCCGTAGAGCTTTGTCAATAATCTCCAGGCAATCTTCATCATGAAGGCCTCATTCATGCGGGTGGCGTTTCGAAGTCCCAAGCCCCCTTCCGTCTTTGGCCTGCACACTGTATCCCAGTCCACCAGGTGTAGCTTCTTTCCCTGCTCCGAACTTCCCAAACAAAACCCTAAATTTTCTTGTCGATATAGTCTCGAACCGCGGCCGGAAGGAAGGATGTCTGCATCGTATAAGCTGGCAAAGCTCCCAAGACCGACTGTGCGAGGGTGATTCGAGCAGCTAGCGACAGGGTGGCCACTTTCCAACCGGCAAGCCTCGTGTCAATTCTGTCAATAAGATCTACAAAGGTCATCTTAGAAACCTGGTCATGGATAACCGGAACACCCAGATACCTGCCTAGGTTGAAAATCTGCGGAATACCCATTGCATCACTCAAGCACTTACAGTCAGGTGCACTTGTGTTTCGGGAGAAGAATATCCGTGAGTTTGGTTTGCTCACTTGCTGTCCCGAAGCCCCACCAAAATCTTCCAAGCACTTCGAAATAGCCTGAACCTGCTGAATGGTAGCATCACCAAACAAGATAAGATCGTCAGCGAAAAAGAGGTGGGACAGTGGAGGTCCCCCTTGAGATAACTTAATCGGTTTCCACCTGGCCGCCTCTACAGCAGAACTAATGAGATGTCCCAAACGCTCCATACATAACGTAAATAGGTACGTGGAGAGAGGGCATCCCTGTCGGAGACCTTTAGAAGGGAAGAACTCGTCCGTGAGACCCTCGTTCCACTGAATCTGCATAGAAGTTGTGGTGACACAGCTCATCGTTAAGTCTATGAACCTCGCTGGGGCGCCTGTTGCTGCCAAAGTATCACGGACAAAGCTCCACTTAATTCGATCGTAATCCTTCGCAAGGTCAATCTTTAGTACCACCCAGCCTGTCCTTCCCTTCTTCGCTCTCATCGAGTGTACGACTTCTTGTAAAACACAAATATTGTTAGTAATATGTCTCCCAGGCACAAAACTCGTATGAGTCTCATGCACTAGAACAGGCATAACCGGCTTCAGTTTCTCTGCGAGGCATTTAATGATCATCTTGTATGCCACATTATAGAGGCTGATAGGCCAGAATTGCTCGATCAAAGTTGGGCGTTGCATTTTAGGAATCAGGGCTAGTATCGTGACATTAATCTTCTTCATTTCGACCGGATCGTTCCAACACCTCTGAGCAAATTCCACTACCTCCTTTCCCACTAGGCTCCAACATCTTTGGTAAAACAGTGGATTCAGACCATCCTTTCCCGGGGCTTTCAATCCTCCCATGGACTTGACTGCATTATGCAGATCGTCTTCTGTGAATTGAGAATTTGTGGCCTGCCACATATGGTTCGGGACAGGTGGGAAGGCACCATCGATCGCACTCGTCGGAATCCCATCATCGGTATACAAGTTGGTGAAAAATTGAAGAGCCATATCAAGAAGGCGAGTTGGATCATCGACCCATTGACCCTCGCTATCTTTCAGGACTGTGACCCTGTTCCTTCGTCGCTGCTTC